GGGTTGGACTGGATGGTCCTTGTGGTCTCTTCCAACTTTATGATTCTACGATTCTATGATTCTATGGTGTAAGCCCTTTTCCAGAATTGTGCAAGGAGGTATTCCATACCTTTATGGTCAATGTACCTCCTTGCACCATAAATTTCCCCCAACTGGCTCAGAGACTGACTCTTAAGTGTGCAACCAGGCACTATTGGGTTGCTGTTGTTGTTGCACACCCAGGAAAAGGTGCAACCTCTGATCCCTAGCATAGCTACACTGGTAGAGCTTTATGCTCCGATGTGACATGGACGAACAAACAAACTTGCCAAGTCTGTGCCTCAAAGCCACCTTGGACCAGTGTTTTGTGGTCCCTGCTTGGGAAACCTCTCTTGGGCCATCCAAACCTGGGAAATCAATGTGACTCAGAAGAAAGAGAAGTGGTTGGTTTCCTCGCTCTTGCAAAGGTGACAGAGGCCATATGATTTCTCCTTCGTATGTTTCCTGGCAACTAGGAGGGAAGCCACGGTTTTCGCTCCGTGAGATCAAGAGGCTGATTCACGCAGATTGCCCAAGCTCTTCTCGGAGGCATGTGAAATCGGGTGATGCAGCATTATGTCTGGCATATCACTCCTTATGGGCTCCAAAAATATGATTACGGATGGAAGTTCATAGCGCTTACTAACCAGGGATTTACCAGGGCAGACACGTAATTTGGAGAAGGCTCTATCCCTTCATTTATACCCTTCCTTTCCCCCAAGTTGGGATTTAAGGCCACTTACAAAAACTTTTTTAAAATGTACAGGTGAAAAGCACATCTAGCTAAAAACATGCAAAACAGCAGAATTATAACAGAATTGAACTCTTTATAGATGGAAGACCATTTAAAATAGTGATGGTCGTTTAAAAAGCAAAGAATAAAAAGTAGTTTGTTGTTGCCGTGTGCCTTCAAGTCATTTCTGACTTAAGGCAACCCTAAGGCAAATCTATTCTGGGGTTTTCTTGGCAAGATTTGTTCAGAGGAGGTTTGCCATTGCCTTCCCCTGAGGCTGAGAGAGTGTGACTTGCCCGAAGTCGGCCAGTAGGCCTCATGGCTAAATGGGGAATCGGACCCTGGTCTCTACACTCAAACCACTACACCACACTGCCTCTAAAAAGGCCATTTGCTTGTAAAATCATCAGTTCCTGCAAATGGATGTTGCAATAAGAAGGTCTTCACATGCTGACAAATGCACAAGGATGGGATCCTTCTGTATATTTTCACTTTGGTCCTCCTTGCCTGGCATCATCATCCCTGATTTGCAGCAGAAGATGCTCTCCAGGGCCTTGATCCTGACCCTTTTATTCACACTACATGGAAGTAGATCCCTGGTATTACCTGCTGGCCTCTCATCCAAGGACTAACCAGGGCTGGCCCTACCTAACTGAAAGAAGGCAAGGGATCCAGTCTGGTGGGCTTTCCTAATGCTCAAGGTGGAGCTGTCCTCTTGGCCTGGACACAGCTCTTACACACCATCTCTGTTCTTTGCAGCAGTTTTGTTGAAAGTCAGAAGCATTTTGCAGACCGGCTGCTCTGGTGACAATGAATCCGGCCGCAGCTGTGCATTGAACAAGGGCCAAGCAAAAAGCTGCTCCGGAAATGAGTCGAACCATCATGGCACCTATTTCTGGCAGCATCTCAGGGCGGCAATGGTCTCGGGTTTTCTTCCCCGGGGCAGGAAACGGAGGGCAGATGGGAGGGTTACGACGTGCGCATACCTGGCTGCTGAATCGAAGCCCGAAGGTGGAAATGTTTTTAAGGAGAGGCAGATGAGGGATGAGCCCTCGTGGACTCCATAGAAAGGAAATGGTGACAGTCTGTTGACTAACATTTTGCTCTGTGTCAACAGACACTTGAGAAACCATCCGTCGCTAACACCGGAGTTGCCAACTTTACAAACTCTGTGTGCCTTTAACAGCAGCATGACCATTAATACGTGGCGACATTTATCTCCTCCGTGCTCAGCAGACTACCAAAAAACAAAGAGTTGCATAGCTCAGTTGCTAAATAATCATACAATCTCAGAGCTGGAAAGGGGCTTTCAAGGGCATCTAGTCCAACCTCAAATACACAGTTAGGGCACTTCTGAAAGATGCCCATATAGATCACCCCCCAAAAAAGGAGAGTCCACCACCTTCTGAGATAATAATCAGTTTCACTGTTGCTTAGCTCTTAAAGAAGTGCTCAATTGTGGTTGTCTAGATGTTGCTAAACTTCCTGTCCCATCAGCCACAGCCCATGATCAGGAATGGTGGGAGCTGTAGTTCAGCAACATCTGGGGAGCCATAGATTCCCCTTTCATGGTGTAGTGGGAGGAGGAGAAAGTGGTCTTGCTGGTTGGAGGGGAAAGCTTGACCTATTTGAGGAGGCCATGGTTTCCTCTGGTCAAATGAGGCTAAGAGAGCATTATGCATTCTCTGAGAAGGAGGCTTTTGCCTGAGCCGACTGGGAAGGGACCGATGCAATGGGACTGACTGCAAGTGCAACTCCGGCAACTTTGGACAGAGCATGGGCATGGGCCAATAATAATAATAATAATAATAATAATAATAATGATGATGATGATGATGCATCAGACAAAAACGTCCCATCACTTCTGTGAGCGAACCTATGCCTGTGTGAGACACCAACAGGATTGTGGCTGTTGCAATAAATGAAACAAGTGTTGTAAAAACCCACTGGGTTGTACCTTGCTGGCAGCCTTTTAGCCCAGGACACTGGGAGATTGTGTCAATATTTACAAGAAAAGGGAGGGACACCTCGGCACAGCTGGTTTGGCAACTTGCTGTGACCTGGAGCAAGATTCCAGCTGTATTTTTGTTTTCTTTTTCTTTCCTTTTCCCCTTCCCGGAGGGAGGCAGTGGGCCAGAAGAAGTGACTCATGGAGGTGTCTCCTCCCAAAAGGGTAATGATGCCCTCGGTGGGTTAGGGCTTCCGGCCTTGGTTTATTTATAAACTCTGACCAACTTCCCTTTTCCAACCAGATCGGCTGATGGATGACGACGAGGCAAAGGGGATGTTTGGCACACCTGGATTGGCCGGGCCGGGCCCAAAGGGGTGGAGATTTGGGATGAAGAGGTGAGACATCACCAGACATTGCTGATGACAAAAGTGTGCGATGTACACAACTTACTAATGCACAACCATCAGCCAACCAAATGCTTTCAAGAAGCCCTGCACCATTTGAGTCTTGGAGATAGACTGCACTGTTCAGTGGAGGTTCCACACAATGACCATGCCCTGCTGACTTCCAATGGATCTATCCCTCTAACCAAGTCAAGTTTCATATAGCTTAGTATCACAGTGGCACATCTTTTTTTCCTCTCCCCAAAATATCCAGCAATGCTGGCTGGTGAACTCTAGGAATTGTCCAAAAATGGGCGCTTTCCCAAGCTGTCCTTTAAAAGGTTCTGGCCATTTGCTGGAATGGCAGCTGAGACAAGGTTGCCCACTCAGGGAGAGGGTCCCTTTGGAAGAGGTCAAGTGGGATTTCAGCTGAGACTTTCCTTTCAACTTGAACCTATGGCCACCCCACGAAAGAGAGGCTTCCAGGTCACCTTATCACCAACTGTCCTGCTCAGGTCTTGCAGAATCAGGACAGCCATTGTGGCTTCCTTGGTTGAACAAACCCACCTGGAATGCCATCTTCCTCTTTTCCTACTACCTTATGTCTTACCAAGGATTATTGTCGAAATAATGCAGTTTGGCGCCACTTTAAGTGCTGTAATGCCATCCATGTAATTTACAAGGTCTTTGGCCTTCCTTGCCAAAGAGTGCTACTGGCCCACAAAACTACAAACCTCAGGATGCTATAGGATGGAGCCATGACAGTTAAAGTGGTGTCAAACTGCATTATTTCTATGGAGTAGATGCACCCCAGGCTTCTAGGCAGAGCTCAGGCCTAATTTGCTCTGATGGCCATCTATTTGTTGTCTTAGCAGTCGAAGGTAATCACAAAACTCTCCTCCAGCTTAGCTGATTTTCTTCCTATCCGTTTCCTTCACCATCTAGCTTTCACATAGGAATTGGAAATACGATGCCATGCATGGGCCATCCTAACTTTCTCATCCGATGGCGCCTGGGAATGCCTGCCAGTCAATCCCGAATTGTCCCGGGATCCAGCGCAGGAGGACTGTACAAACGCCTTGGCATCCACAGCCATGGAGACGTGGCTCTTTGCAGGAAGGGAGAGGCGGAGAGCTTTGCATAACTGGGTCAGAGATGCTCCGATACCAGTTGCGCTCCGGGGCAGGATCGCCAGCCAAGGAGAAAAACAAAATGAGAGCGGGAGCTGGCCTGGATCTTCTGCCACAACCACCCATTTGTTTGCACCGTCTTTTGCACACCCCACTTGCACACACCGCTCCATCCAAGGAAAGGTTCACTGCAGCGGTGGCTGGTGGCTCCCGTGGCAGTTGGATGGTGAATCTAGTTGATTTCTCTTAAACAGGCTGCACAATATCCTCCTTTGTCCAGAGGAAACCCAAGCCAAGCTTTTGTCAAGTGGAAGGGGATGGGGACAGAGGGGCCTTCCTATTGCTCTTCCTCTCTCACCAACAAAGAGTCCATCGGGAAGTTCTCTTGCACAAGCGCCATTTGGAACAGAGGGAAGATGCTCACTAGTTACAGTTCCTACAAGAGGTGCTTTGGCCAATTCCTTCCTCTGAAAGAAGGGTGGCATAGTGGTTTGAGTGTCGTTGGACTACGACTCTGGAGACCCGGGTTCAATTCCCTGCTCAGCCGTGAAACCCATTAGGTGACCTTGGGCACATCACACTCTCTCAGCCTCAGGGGAAGGCAATGGCAAACCTCTTCTGAACAAATCTTGCCAAGAAAGCCCCATGATAGGTTCACCATGACTTGAATTCATGACTTGATTCATGACTTGATTCACCATGACTTGAAAAAGCAACTTGAAGGCACACAACGAACACACAAGAATGTGTGGCATTGTTTACAACTTTGCAGGGGAGAATAGTGTTAAAAGATCACCTCGTAGGACTGGCTTTGTATGAATTCTGCTCCAAAAACGTGACTTTAGTGGGCCCCAATGTCCCGTCTGCCCGGACAAGGATTAAAAAAAGATTAGTCGCTCCCTTTTGCAAACCTGTTCCCCTGACATTTTTCCAAGTTGCTTCGTGTTGTCTTGTCTGTTGGCTGTCCTGCCCTGGCCTGGCCTCGGTTGTCCCTTCTTGACCCTTCCTCTAACCTGAGACGACGGTGTTGTCCTTTTTGGCAAGACGACAGTTGAGCAACCAGCTCTGAAACTTTCAAGGTATTGGCTCACCTCCGGGAGGTGGACAGGGACCCATTGCTCCACGTCTCTTTCAAAAGTCTGCTCTTGTTTTTCTGGCTCTGAGAGCTGACTCACCAGGATTATTTTAACTGCAGAAAGATGGGGAAGAACAAGAGAGGAACCCCCAAAGCAGCCACTACCTTGAGGGTTGGGAGTGGGTTGGGGTTACGGTTCCATCATCCCCATCGCTCCCTTCCTTTCTGACCTGAGTTCACCTCTCTTCTGCCCCCAACGTGAAGCCAGGACCATGCAAAAACATTTACCTTGGCCTTCTGGACACATGTGGACCAATGCCAACCCTTGGATGCCAGGATCAATAGAAGGGTCTAAGTACCCCACTTCAGGAAAGGGAGTCACGATGCGAGGGGAGCCCTCAGGACTGGAGAGCTGCTTTGTGAAAATGGGTGCTTTGCCTTTTCCAGGAAAGGGAAGTCAGGGCTTTTAGGAAGGCAGGAAGAAATCGCTCGAGGGCTGGGTCTTGAACTGACCTCCCTAGAACTTGGGAAAGTTTTTGGTGTGTGTATGTATGTATGTATGTATGTATGTTCATGTATGTATGTGTGTGTCTTGTGGTGGTGTGCCTTCACGTCATTTCTGACTTACGGCGACCCTAAGGCGAACTTATTGTGGGGTTTTCTTGGCAGATTTGTTCAGAAGAGGTTTGCCATTTCCTTCCCCTGAGGATGAGAGAGTGTGACTTGCCTAAGGTCACCCAGTGGGTAGCATGGCCAAACTGGGATTCGGACCTGGTCTCCAGAGTCATAGTCCAACACTCAAACCACTATACTATGCTGGCTCTCTATGTATGAAACACAAATGTCATAATATTATAAAACAACATACTGTGGCTGTTGTGTGCCTTCAAGTCATTCCCAACAACCCTAACGTGAACCTATCACAGGGTTTCCTGGGGTTGAGAGTATGTGACTCAGCTAAGGTCACCCAGTGGGCTTCCATGGCTGAGTGGGGAATCGAACCCTGGTCTCCAGGGTCATAGTCCAACACTCAAACCACTGCCCCAGACTGGCTCTCATAAAACAACATACAAGAGGAAATTATAAACACCAGACATAATCACGACTAGCTACAGCGATCTTTCCTGTGGCTCCTTGCGGCAGCTTCTGGCAAATGGGCTACCAACCAACCCATCATCCACACCTGGTCCTCACAACTTCTTTAGGAAGAGAGCCATTCTCCAGAACTGACTTTGTCCATGGCCCAGCTTCTGTTCTTTGATGACTCTTGTGTTTTGAACGTTCATTTTCGGCCAGACCCGAAAGAGGTTTGGCCGCTTTAAATCTCCCAGCTTCTTGAGAGAAACTGAGTCATGATTCGTGACTTTGGCCAGCAAGGCTGCTTTGCCAATTTCCACTCCCAGAGGCTGGCAGATCACAGGACTGGCATCCGAGGGCTTGCCACGCACGTCGTGGATGCTGGGCCTCCTCCTTCCTTGGCACGGCAGGAGACCGACCGCTTTCGGTTCTGGCAGGAGCTTCCTTTTCTCAGAAACAGGCATCCCAGGCTGGGAAAACAACCATTGTTTTGTGGCTGGGCTTGTCTGTCAGTTATAGCCCCCTAAAAGTAACTTTTCTTAGCTCTACAAAAAACCAGGGACCAAAGAACCCAGCAGGTCCTTGCTTCAATCCATGCCTTTGTGCTAATGCTACAGCAGGCACTATTGACTCCTGCTTCTCTTCAATGAAGACAGGACAGGTCAGAAGTGGTTTGAGTGTTGGACTAGGACACTGGGGGACCAGGGTTCGAATCCCTGCTTGGCCATGGAAATCCACTGGGTGGCCCTGGGCAAGTCACACACTCTCTCAGCCTCAGAGGAAAGCAAAAGGAAACCCCCTTGGAAGAAGTCGGAAAGCAATCGGTTCCTCTTAAGGTCACCATAATTTGGGAATGACTCAAAAGCACACAGCAACACAGATAGGGATGGAAAGCAAAACTAATTTGGTCTTTTTAAAAAAAGTCCCTCAAACCAAAATGCCCCAAACATTGAGGCTTGTTTCCAGCTGGGCTCCCATGGATATATTGCTGCTTCTCCATCTTGCTCAAAGGGTTTTGAAATGTCCAGATGTCAATGGGCTAATGTTCTGTTTCCTACCAACCATGATCCATTCACAGCCCAGACAGTGCCCATCATCCCCATCTTCTGGAGCTGTCAGCTGACCGCAGTTCTCATTAGAACTCAGGTCCGGAACGAAGATGTCATATTTCAAGGGAATTTCAGAGGGCCGAGTCGGTGGTTTCCTGATCTCAGCCCAGATGCAGAGCTGAGACAGCTTTGATGCTGCGTTGTGGTTGCATCCCTGCTATACGTTTCTCCTGCCATGTTCTTCACGGGAAACTTTCACAATCATGTTTGCTTACGTCCGAGGTGCATGAACACCGCCCCGTGAAACAATGTTCTTTGGGGTCCTTCCTGAACAAAAAGCAATCTGGCAAGGAATACAAGCAGAAAGTCCATAAAAGGCGGTGCAGCGGCATAACTGTGTTTCAGCTGAATTCACTTTAAGTCAGTGCCAGTTAAGAGCAGAAACACATGAACAGAGAATAAAATGAAGGATGTGAAAGCTGTTCCAAAAGCATCTAGTCCAAACCTCGGCCAACAATGGAAATCATAGAATCATAGAGTTGGAAGAGACCCCAAGGGCCATCCAGTCCAACCCCATTCTGCCATGCAGGAACTCCCAATCAAAGCATCCCCGACAGATGGCCATCCAGCCTCTGTTTAAAGGCCGCCAAAGAAGGAGAGTCCACCAAAATCTCCATTGAGGCAGCAACATATTTACTGTTGAACAGCCCTTACTCTCAGGAAGTTCCTCCTAATGTTGAGGTGGAATCTCTTTTCCTGCAGCTTGCATCCATTGTTTCAGGTCCTAGTCTCTGGAGCAGCAGAAACAAGTTTGCTCCCTCCTCAATATGAAATCCCTCCAAATATTTAAACAGGGCCATCATATCCCCTCTTAACCATCTCTTGTTCAGGCTAAACATCCCCAGCTCCCTAAGTCGTTCCTCATAGGGATTCATGGTTTACAGACCCTTCACCATTTTAGTTGCCCTCCTTTGGACACGCTCCAGTTTCTCCATATCCTTTTTGAATTGTGGTGCCCAGAACTGGACACAGGATTATCCCAGGTGAGGAGGCCTGGCCAAAGCAGAATAGTGTGGCACTATGACTTCTCTTGATCTGCCGTGAAAATATCCCTGAGAGGTGGAAATCCAACCCAACCTCCATTTAATAACCTCCGTCAAAGAAGAGTCCGTCTTTTTCCAAGGGAATCTTGCAACAGCTCTTAACCTCAGAAAGTTCTTCCTAATGTTTTATCAGACTCTCCTTTCTTTTCATTTGGACACTATTTCTTTGAATGGCAGATGAATGGGGTTTTATTAATGGGCTGCGTTGTCCGTATTTTCCACTTTTCAATGGGAAATTCTTTCCTATTGCTTTGTTATTGTTGTTGTGTGCCTTTGTTGTTTCCGCTTTATGGAGACCCTAAGGCGAAGCTATCATGGGTTTTTTTTTGGCAAGTTTCTTCAGAGGAGGTTTGTCATTGCCATACCCTGAAGCTGAGAGAGTGTGACTTGCCCAAGGTCACCCAGTGGGTTTCATGGCTGAGATAGGATTCGGACCTTGTTCTCCAGAGTCATAGTCCAATGGTCAAATGACTACAACATACCAGTTTAATTATATTTTAACTTATATATATTTTTAGTGAGGGGCCAGTGTGATATAGTGGTTTCAATGTTGGACTAGAACACCAAGAGACTAGGATTCGAATCCCCGCTCAGCCATGAAAACCCACTGGGTGGCCTTGGGAAAGTCACACATTCTCAGCCTCTGAGGAAGCCAAGGCGAGCCATTCCAAAGGAACTGACAAAACATTTGAATAGCCTTTCCATAGATAAGATCACAATTACAAAAAGTGATATTGCTTGGAACAGGCCACACTATCCGAAGATACCTTGCTGAATCCTAGGAAAGAATCTGAACCATTAATGGTGTACGTCTGGTAAACTGGTAATAATAATAATAATAATAATAATAATAATAATAATAATAATAATAATAATAATAAATAATACAGCAGGAGTAGCTGCAGCAAGAATAACAACCCATTGTTTCAGAACAGGTCCTATTCTTTGCAGCAATAGTAAACCAGCTCAGTGGGAAGAAAATATTGGAAAGGATTCATTCATTCTTGTATGTGGGAATGCTAGATTTCTGCAAATTTGCCAGTCTGCCCCTTGGTTGCTCTTATCTTTGTCCTGCGGCCAATCTTTTGCAAGAGATGGTGGGCTTTTGCACTTACATTGCATTTTGCATCTGCTTTGTTTGTCCTGAAATCTCTGGCTCTGCCCTCCTCTCTCTCTAAGAGAAGATGGCAACCTATAACCAACCATCTGTCATGGTTTCTATAAATACTCTGTTCAAAAACCA